TTTTCCTCAGAGATCTGGGTAATCTTTCATTGTGAAGACTGATGCTGTTTTACAGAAAGAAAAGACGACTGATTTTTGTTCCTTCTATAACTGGAAAGATGAAATGGATGTTTGGCATGAAGTGTTTTGGGTTTTTTTCTGAGTTTATTCAGCTAACTGCTGTTGTTCCCATGGTTAACCACTGTGGCAATTCAGTGAAATATTAGAGTACATTAGTAAAACCCAGCTTAACTTAAATGTACAAAAATAGGTAAAGAAAGCAAGTACTTTGTAGTAGTGTAATGTTAATTTATTGAAGGAAGTCTTGTGCAAATCCTAGCCACGATTAATGTAGTCCTACAGTGCCAGAAAGCAGAGTCTTGAAAGTGTGAGCCTTTATTCTTAATAATAGTGCTGAATTATAGTAACTTTTTCAGCAGTTATGTTTCCCTTTTGAAGCAGATTGTATAGGATCCAAGTATCTCCAAGTACCTTTGAGAATCCCCTCATTTTTCTACTACTGCAAAAATAAATTGAAGAAATACTTTTCCTGAAGTCTTAAATCCATTCCTTCTTCACCCTGGCAATATCAGGATGTTTATTCTCATGTGATGAGTGTAGGTTTTAAAAACACATGGCAATCCCCTTTTTGCGTATACGGTGTGTTTAGGCAGATTGAATGTCATAGCTTCACCTTATCTGCTGGACAATGTATAATTCTACTGTGTTTTAGTTAAAGGGAGTGATAAGAATATATAATTCTGCTTCAGAACTACCATCTTTCCCATTCTGGAGACATACTGTTCTAAAACAATTCTCTTAAAATTAAATAGTATACTTAATTAGCACGTTATAGCAAAATTAAAAATTTCCTTGGAGCACAGAAGAACCAAAACTGAAAAACAAAGAAAAGGAAAAAATAAGTACTATTGCAAGATAAAAGGCAGTGTCTTTGGTTTGATAGGGGAAGCCTGCTGGGTCTTGCAACAAAACAAATTTTTATTTTTCCTTCAAACCCTTTTAAGGATAATTGGTACATTAGGGAACTGGGCCTGATTATTTGGCTGTAGAAAGCTATGCTAAATCTGTGAAACCTGTTACTTGAAGGAAAACTTTCTTCAAATAATCGCAGAGGCATTTCACTAAATTCAACTGATAGTTAAGATGAGGTGTATTTTTTTTACTCGGGGATGTGTAATGACGTGTGAGTGTGTGTCTGTGTCTGGGTAACATGCTATATGATATGTCATTTGATGCTTCTGTGAGTTGTGATCCAGACACATCAGGTTTTGTACTTGTCAGTAACCTCGTTAGACATACTTATAGAAGAGTAGTTACCATTTTAAGGTAGCAATAACTGCTACAGGACTGAATCTCAGTCTCAAATGTGGTAATAATCTAGTGATAAATTGCTGTTAATTGAACACTAAGATGATTATACTTTTGCCATTGGAAATGATTGATCTCTGTGTTGCGACAATTTTATGTAATTGAACTTAGTGGTACTTGACCTTTCTGAGGTGTTTTCAGACCTTTAGGTTAAAATACTATGTTACATAATATAAAAATCTAAGTGCCTGTATTTGTTTTTTAGAGATAGGAGTTCAGGAGGATTTTTATCATATTAAATTCTTTTACCAGACAGAGTTTTCTTGTAAATTACTCTGCTTAGAATTTCTATGAACAAACTTAGGATGAATGTCCAAAACCTAGCTTTCTTCATAGAGGAAGAATGGTGAAGACTTTTAACAGTTGAAGTTGTCTAAGATCACTGCAAGACTGGTTGGTTTCACTTCATCTGCCTCTTTGTCCTTTTGGTAGAGGGGAAATAAATAGCTCCATGTCTTTCTTTGTTTTGAAAACCTGGTTTGTTCTGTAGAGGTTGATTGCCGCACATGTTTGCTGAAGAAGTTGTTCCAGTTGAAGGGGTGAATAGTGATAAAAGTGGTAATTCAGACAGTTACATGGAATTAGATATTCTATCAAAGTAACACTAATGTTAATATTTATACATTTATGTTGGTTTTATTTGTTAGGCAACAGCTTAACAGTGATAGCCAGGCAAACTAAAGTTTATATATGGAAAACAGGAAAGCTGGACAGTAAGTGGAAAAATGATCACACCCATTTGTTGCCCCATACTATGACTTGCCGTAGCAGAACAAGTCTGTGTTAGCTTTGGGCTCTTAAGATCTATTTAATTCTAAACAGTATCTACACTGTGCTGCTGTCATTGTACCATCCCATAGCTGTCCTTTCCCTAAATAAACAACACATACATTCCATCTCATAGGACAGCATCTCATGTTTCATGAAAGGAAACTGTATTTTTATATACTTAATTTTCTAACTCGGCTAACTTTCTAACAGTTATTCACTCTGGGTGAATTAGCTATCAGAGGGGAAGATAAGTTTTTACTCTTCTGGCTGACATCAGAAAAATTGCCACCACCAAAGATGAGAAACCAGCAAAAGATGTTGCCTGACAAAGACTCTAAAAGGAAGAAAAATCATTTTCTACAGGAAAGTATAGTACATCTGGGAACAAGCAGGCACAGCTGAGTATTAATAAAGATCTGAAATCTATGTGAAGGGGCATTACTTTTATAAGAGAAGCAGTACTGATGTAAAGAGCTGTATGTCAGTAGGGTGCAAGCTGTCATGAGTCTGCCCAAGCAAACCGCATGGAAGCAGAAGCAGTGTTCACTGAGGAAATGCTGTCTCTTTTTAAAAATTTGAATCAATTATTCAATGGATGCAATGTCTTGGCATAGTTTATTTTGTAAGTTTTGCCACATAGTGCAAAGTCATCTTAGTTGAGTGACAAAACATACAGAACTGATAAATAAAACAATGCAAGATGTTGGACAACTTTGTAGTAATAAGTCTAGATAGGTAACTGAATAAAGTAATTACCTTTTAAGCTTTTATCTTCTACAAATGTAGAATACTTGAGCACCTGCTAGAGAATGTTTAGGGATCTGTTGGAGAAATACTTCAGTTATGAGAGATTTCAAATGAAAGCTTTTGAATAGTAAGTTAGTCTTCTAGCTCTGTTAGTATTTTGATACCGGTTGGCTGTGGTTTCAGAGCTCAAGTACAAAAAAAAAAATCAGTATCTGAATATATTCTTTTATGAGTTTGTCACAAACTGTAGGAAAATACTCAGGTCATCATTCTTTTGGAAGTACATAGAGGCAATGCAATACAGAACTTAGCTTGATGAGGTAGAAGAGAATTAAAAAAAAAATATTAAAATTATCCTTTTTCACAAGAATGTTGGCTTGAATAGAGTACCATTTCTTGTTATTTGCTGTCCAGGCATTTTGGGGATGCGTGGATATGATACGGAAGAAAATACCCTTTGTTAGAACTTTGGAGATTTGGGTTCTGATAATAGAGAACATATGTTCTCCTTATCTCTAAGACACACATTTTTCACAGTGAACTTGGAGGTTTTTATTTTTTCTTGAGTAAGCAACAGTTGCAGGTGTAATATTTTGTTAAATGATGAGCAGCAGCATCATTCTCCTGGACTGTCTAAAAAGGAAGGTGAGGATTGTACATGTGTAAACAGAGGATAAATTTATTTAAAAATAACAAGAACACTCCTTTCAGTATACCGTCACCGAATTTAAAATGAAAAGAGGTTTGTGTCTCCACCTCAAATGCAGACTAGATACAGGAGTTGAACCCCTCAGGTTTTTTGCTTGACCAAGTTTTCATCTGTTGTCTTCTCTGCATGTGTATGTATGTTTGCATATGTATGTATCTCTACACGGATACATACATGCATGTCTTTACTGAAATGTTACTGAAATATGTATATAATATTTCCAGGACAAATTGGAGCTGGTTCTGCTGCATTTCTTTGGTAGTTCTGACTCTGCAGGCTTTAACTAAATTTTAATTATTTAGGAGGGTGATAGATTTGTTAGGGATCATTTCCTATTAGCAACTCCCAATTTTAGACATTACTTTTTGAGAATCTCTATAATTTATAGTACAAATTGAAAAGAGAGACAATTTCTTATAATATTGATTTTCTTTTTTAGTATTAACTTCTTTTCCATTTGTGGCAACATTAAGAATTTTTTTATCAATCTCTCTAAAAGGCCAATTCCTTCCCTCCTTTACGTTTTCTCAGCTACCATCAGAGTTTAAATCTGCCAAGTTGATCAACTAGTCATCATTGTAAAAGTTGTTTTGTATACTCCAAGATTGTACCTGAAAAATTAAAAATGAGACCTTTCTTTAAAATAAGCTTAATGAAATACAAATTGTAATCTGAATATTTCATCCATTTCATGTAAATAAAACTGGACTGGAGTAAGCATAGTCTGAAATAAGGGCCCATATGTATGTTTATTAATTCACTTTCTGTCATAATACCATATTTAGCACTATTTGTCTTTGTTTGAACACACCATGTCATCATTCATTCATAATTTACTCAGTACTCTTACATATTCTCATTCATTCACTGTTTACTTTAAGGTCTTCCCCAATAAATCAACGTTACTGTTTCCTTCCTACACCATCACTGAGTTCATTCACATGAATACAAATTTTGGTAAAATACCGATCTTTGAATATTTTGGTGTTTTGCTGTCTTTTCTGTCTTTATATTGTCCAAGTATCCCAGGTTCAGTTGCTAATGAGTGGTTCAGTTGGTAGAATGGATGGTAGGTATTCTGTCTTTTAGCATGGTAGGTATTCTGTCTTTCAGCAGAAAGAAAGGTGAATAGTGTGCTTATCCATGTTGACATCTATGTACTTTCCATAAAAAAAGTGAAGTTTTTTTCTGTTCTCCCTGATTTCTGGAACTTCCTATAACTGTTGTCTTCTTTATCTGTTTTCACAGTCTTATTCATGGTACTTGGATTTTTCCCATTGCACGTACATGTTGGTGATACGGCCAACGTGAAAAATTATTCCTGTTAATCATGTTCACTGTATATGAGCTATCTGCAAACATAGAAAATGAAGTAAATTTTACTGTTTTGTTTGTTTTCAATTAGGCTCATGCACAGTTAGTTCGAGAAGTGGATGTGGAGAAGGTGTCAACTTTTGAGAACCCATATGTAGATGCAATAAGAAGCTTATGGAATGACCCTGGAATTCAGGAGTGTTATGATAGACGACGGGAGTATCAATTATCAGATTCAACTAAATAGTAAGTACATGGTGGCTACAAACAACTATATATCATTTTCTGTTTCTAACAAAGTAATTTCTACTTTTTAGCTTCTTATACCATATGTCTGTGTACATGTTTGTATGCATATGCAGCACAAACACACCTGAATATACACTTACAAGATTGAATTCAGAGGATACTTTAAGGAGTGAAGTACATCTGGTTTAGGATTGTATCTGTGTTTGTGTGACAGAATGACAGTCTGTGATCATTTGAAGTAAGGTTCTAAATAGGGATAGGTAATCACTGGTGGCTTTGTTTTCTTTTGTCATACCTGTTTAAGCCCTTACTCTTCTCTGACATACACTCACATATTCAAGCTGGGCAAAAATATGTTCATGCCGTATGACAGCAGTGAATACTGGGAAGTGCAATCAAGGTAGACCTCCATACAATTCATAAAAATTATAATGCCCCAGAACTCTGATTTTTCAAGTTTTCCCCTTTTTCCTCACAGATTACATTTGCAGTCTTAGTGGTGAGGTGAATAGTACTAAGCAAGAGTTCTTGTGTTCTACTGAACTGCCTTTCTTTTATGGAAACAAAGCCTACATTTTAAAGAACATGGCTACCAGAAAGACAACAGGAAAAGCACTTTAAGTTAAACCCTGTTTGTTATAGGTCAACAATAAAAAAAAAAAGCATATGTGACTAAACTATGTCTGAAATGTTATGCCATCGGTTTCTTGGGGCAGGAATCTGATAAAATAGCACTGTGAAATTTGACGTTGGAATCTGAGGACTGCCAGAAGTTTGAGTCCATGAAATTCAGTTACTCTTGAGTAATTTAGCATATAGCTCAAATAAAATTTCTTGTGTGTTGTCAAAGAAATGGATGATGGTAAGGGATGTTGACCTTTTAATGTTGACCAACATTAAAAAATACAGCCTAGTTAATTAATAAAGCTGTGGCAAGAACTTCCGTGGTCTCCACGTGATTTTTTGTATTAGCTTGGAAAATTATTCTGCTGCTGCTGTCATTCTAGTTTCCATTTGTCAGGTGTACATCTATTGAGGAAAGCACAGAAGAACAGAAAGGCACCATGAAGCTCCCATTAAGCGCATTGGAACAGGGCTATAGACATGAGAGGTCTTGGATGACATTTATCTGCACAGTAGTCTGAGGATTATTATCTAGCACAACACTTCGTATGTGATTTAGTCAAGATAAACATATTAGTATCTTGCTGATGCAATTTGGGCAGCTGAAGAGCTACAGATGCATGACATAGGTCTCCTCAGATTTGCTCCGATGCAGTCACCACACCATGTTCTTATCCTGGTATATTTGCCCCATGCATAGTGTTCTGGTTGTCCTATGCAGTTTGCTGTCCTGTGGAGCTAGTTACCCTCCCAACCCATCACTTTCATCATTTGTGTATGCATATTTTGGTGCAGGGTGGTGCAAAGCACAGTGCCAACGCTCTTTTATTGTTTGGATTCTCACTGTCCCCAAAGATACCATACCGTGTTTGGGGTTTTTTTTTTAGTGGTAAGAAAACAAATAGAATGTTACGAAACATGAAAAACTTTAGGCTGCATAAATGGTGAAAAGACAATTTCAGAGACAAGTTCCTGACAATACACTTTCATGTTGTTTCATTACTGAAATAAGCAGCAAGCATAAGTAGAAGGTGAAGCAGAGCTTGTCTTATACTTTGAATTTCTTGTATTTGTAGGTCCTAACTTGGTTTCCACAACAGATGTGATACTGTTTTTAAAGTTGAAATAAATGTATGTATTTCATGTGCTTGCCTTAGAGGGTAGAAGTAGGATTACTTATTCTCCAAAGTAGGAAATAATTGTCTGATGCTACTTCAGATCAGATTGTGCTGAATACCGTAGTTTTGACCTAGTTAATGAAATTGTCACCATAGTGGATCTTTCGAGTAGTATTAAAAATAGTAGGGAATAAATCATTAAGTAGCTATAGAAGCACATTGCTAGTACATTGCCTTGCAAAAGGTAGATGTACTAATTGATTGGTTATTTTTCAAGCTCAACATGTTCAGCAATTTAACATGAGTTTTTGAATATTTGGTGACTTTAACTATAATCTGTTATAGTTCATCATATGGATTTCTGCAAAATCTGTTTTAAATTAGAATTGTGAATCACTGTATATGAGTCTTTAGAAGAGCCTCTCCTATATTTATGCTTGCAAGTAGAGTTTTTTCAGGTATGTAAGTCCAGTAAAAACAATCAGCAGAAACCAAAGAAACATTGTTTCAAAAAAAAAAAAAAGTGTGTATGTTTAGCAGTAAAATAACCAAAGACTTTGCTAGCTTCAAATCCCTGTCACAACGCAAGAAAACAAAATGCTTAGAAGTTACTACTGGGATTCACAAGGCACTAAGATGGAAATAAGCACCCAGTGCCCATCAACTTGGTGAGTCCTAGTAATTTCTTCTGACTTGATGTATAAACCAAAATGGTTTGTTGTCCACCAGATCTCTTGCAAGCATATGTGTCTATATGCCTTGTAAGCATATATGTCAATATTTTTAAGCATGTGTGTCAATATGTCACATGATCTTCATTTATCCCTTGCATGAGCCTCTCATTTTCTCAGTAGTTCTCCCCTGTGTTTTTATGGTAGTATTATTTTCAGTCTGTTCCCTGTGTTGCTTTTTTTGGTCCGTCAATGTTGTTATACATTGTCTTCCTAAATATCTTCATCTGTACTTTCTGTTTCTTCTGTTGTTTCTAAATTCTGTTTCTGTTTTCTAATAGATCCTGTATGTTTCTGTACTTTCTGTCGTCTTTTGACCTGCTTTGTCATTGTTAGCTACACTTTTGTTGTTTTTGTACCCACTGCTAGTACCCTGGAAGAATACATCAAGTGTGTGTTTACCAGAAGAGGTGAGCGTAGGGTCTAAAAGAAAATTTCCTGCATCATGGGAGTTGATTTGAAGCTCTTGGAGGCTGAGCAAATAAATGCCATTCTCTTCCCTTGCCATTGGATGCTCCAAAGGTTGGGTGTTCATATTGTTTTAAAAAACAATTTCTAGACTTCTCTGTGGTAAAAGGAAGAGCACATCAGGTAAATAGAGAGATTATTCACTTCCCATATACATTACAGGGTGACTTAGCCACTTACTTACCACTAAACCACTTGCCTTAAAGATACTGTTCACAGTGTGAGGCAGAGGTAAACCAACACCACACTGTGGGTTGCCTTAAGTAAGAGCTGTGTGAGATGAGATCATTCAGTATGTGCTGTACAGGCTGTCAAGATCTTAACCCAAATGTAAACAGGTTACCAGTCTGATTATATCATGGCTTTTCAAAGCCCAAAGAAAGGAGAGGCAACAACTGTTGTCACGAAGAGGGGCAGTTGTCATAAGTAACATTTCACACTTGTGTGACAATGTACAGAGTTTGGGTTGCAACTAGAATTTGTGGAGATTCATCACCGTTTTTCTCCAATATAACGCTAAGGGCTTTCCCTTCAGAAAGAAAAAGTAGGAAGTGTGTAGAACTGGAGAGTGTCTTTCTCTGGTCCCATGAAATGAAAGTATTATATCATTGTATATCTCGAACCAAGGACTTCCTAGTTGCTATACAAGCACTGGGTGTATCTGTTTAGTTTCCTTTCCATGGCTGTGTTCTCTAACACTTCAGATAATTAAATATAATTTTCCCTCATGCTTTCTAAGCCACTATGGTAGCTACGCCAGTGGGTATTTAATACCCCACTTTGTTATTATTTAATGCACTGCTTTATGAATCATGCGTGCCATGGCATTCTCATACATACCTGAGAGTCCTTCAGGCTTTTGTTTCTGCATTTGCTATCACCTTTAACAACTTGGCCCCTACAGTTATACAGCCATGCGTGTACCTGTGATCGTGTGAGTCGCATTAGCTGGGCAGTTAGTACAGAAATGCAGATTGCAGTATTTTACCATGTAATAAGAGCTCCATGGTGTGAGTCTGAGGACATCTTCAGAATATCACTAATTTTTAACAGGGAAGAAAGAGACGAAGCGTAATGGTGTCTGCTCGTTAAAGTTCATGTTTCACCTTTTGAGAAACCATTGCATGAATTGTAGTGCTTTGGTCATCTACTAATTTTTGTATGACAGTATTACATCTGCATTTGAATGTTTCTTGTAACTTCAGCTGAATAATTAATTCGTTCATACCTGTTTGTTAAAAATAATGTTTTGCTTCCATGTTCCACTTCTGAAACAGGCACATTTCAGCGTAATTACTCTGTGCTAAATAGGATGGGCTTAGGGGGACATAAGGGGAAAGGTCAGTGTATGAATCTAAGTTTTTACTACAGCAGTTTACTCCATTTGCAGGTATTGCCCCTAGCAATCAGAATATTCATTCTTTTGTTTCTGTAGGGAGTTCTTAGGGCATCATGGCTCTGTGTGAGCCTTTCAGAAGGACTAATACTGTCCTGAATTGAGACCTGCTATGCACCTAACACTGGTATAGCAAATTATGAACAAGTGTCTATGTGATATCTGTGTAGCAGATATCTATTTTCTTGGGAGTAAAATCTATCAGATTTTCTTGGGAGTAAAAACCATGTACTCATAATTTATGATACATAAGCACATCATTATTTAATAAACATTTTAATACTGTTCATTGATTCTTTCTTCCCTTCATTTGTAAAAATGTACTTGAAGGTTCTAAAGTTTGTTTGGGAGCAGTTTGTGTTGCAGCATGGTAGATTCTGCTTTTATGTATTTACAGTTTACACAGCCTTACTTGTGTAAGGCTTGCAGTAAGATAAAAACAGAAAATAAGTAGTCTGAAAATAACAATCAAGTACTAGCAGCAGAACCGTGCTAACCCTATCATATGCCTTAGATATAGTCCCCAAATAGAAAAGGAAGGTCTGAGGAAAGATGGGACATGAAATCTGCTGCATAGCAAAGCACTGCATCCCATAGAAAAACTGAAGATTATCCAACAGAACTAGGAAAGTTCAGAAAGGGAAGTGTGGTTATATAAAG